CAATTTGTCCCAAAATTAAAAAAGGGGCTCTGTGTGTTTTTACATTTTTACCTAATATTTGTAAATATAAATAAATTTGTTTTTTCCAACAGTTTGAAAAAATTGTTCTTGGTCCACTTGCCCTAAATGGGAAAAATAAGTCCTAAAATTTTTACGCATTTTCTTGCTATTTTAAATGTAAATAAATTTGTTTACTCTGACAGTTTGAAAAAGCTCTTTTTCTTTATCTAAAGTTAATTTTTACGGATTTAACAAAGCTTTTATATCTTTTGATTCAATTGCCTCAAATGGGGTAAACGAGCAGTAGAATCCTTACCTAGGGCCCCTAATATGAGAATGATAATTTGTATAATTGAATGCTTTGATTCTTTAGTAAAAAAGAAAACAATAAAAATAATTCAGTATAAGTACTTCAACGAAACTCCTCATCGATAGCACTTGAAAAATAAATTTATTATCAAAATTTGGCTCCTTAATGAAAACTGAACAAATCTTGACGCGAAATAGGCGTTATTGAGTCCAACATAAATTGTCATACCTTGGGAACCAGCTATCTAAATTTAAAAAACAAACTCATTCTGAAAGCGTCTTTATTATGCTCATATTTTGGTATTAGTTATAACAAGAGATAATGATGTTAGTAAAATCGTGTGAACTGTCTAAAGTAATTAAACTGACTGATTTTGATTTAAGTGTTTTAAAACAAGTCGACATGCTAAAATTCTAATCTATTTTATCATTTACCATAACGTATACTTATTTTTAATAATTGGATATTGCAAAAGTTATTTAAAAAAAATGTTTATTAAAAATTTGCAACCACGCTGCAAGGCCGTAGACAACTTTTTTTGATGTTAGAGCTAAGCAACTTTGAAACATAAAAAAAACTCCATATTTAAATATGTTCATATATATAATAAATGAGGATGCTATGAAAAAAACTGCGCTGATTAGAGATGTCAGCCCCCCAGTCCCAAATAGGAGGGTAATGAGTCAAATTCGTTAATTTTTTTAATCTTAAACTTAATTTATATTTATCGATACATTTCAAACTTGATTCAATAATCTCTTTTTGATCGGCTTTTATGACCTTATAAAGCTTACAACCCCCTCAATTTGAGGGGGCTGTAAACTTTATAAAGTCATAAAAGGTCATATTAAAGCTATTGCAAGTATGTCTAGTTTTTATATCTGTAAGTTTATTTTGAATCATGTTAAATGTGATGCACTATAAAAAAAATTATAATTTAAAATCTTCTTAAACACAAAAAAAAAAAGATTTAAAAAAATATTATTTACTCAAGTTACAAATAAGTGTAACTGTACGAGTAACAACGGCATCTTTAAACGCCCATTTGTAAAAGTCATGGTGCAGCATTAGCTATGAAAAAAAAACATGGTTTACCCATAAAAGTTCCATGGGATTTCAATTTTCATGGATATCCCCGAATGGAAATTCCATGGAATTTCAACTTCCATGGGAAAACCATGGCTTTTTCATTCCATGGGATTTCCAAGGAATACCTATGGAATTTCATGAAATATTTCTGTAAAGGACTGAAGACATACTACATTTCTCAAGAAAACTGTCCAAATGCTTTGCAAGTGTTTTTTGAAAGTGAAACAGATGAGTAATACTTCTGACTTGGGCATAATCAACTAAATAGTTTTAACTATATATTATGAAAAAAATACAAGCAAATGGAGCAGACATTATTTTGGAACTAAAAAAAAATTAAAATATAACCTTGAGATAAGAATTAATAGTGGTTTTGTCCAACAAGGAGCAAAATCATTGCTGAGAAAAAATTATTACCTATGATGTCAATACATTTATGACAGAGCTAATCTTTGATATTGAACTGTGGGAAAACAGTTTTGGTAGGGCTGAGATACTTGCATTAATTGGACATGATCACGTGCTAAAGTGAGAGAATATTGAACAATTTGATGAACCTATAAACAATATTAATGGTTCAGATGGTAAAAAAAAAAATTAATATTACCAATCTCTTGATATGCCAAGTGATGGCAAGTGTAAAAGCATTTGTTGCATCTAAAAAGGAAGTCGAGCTTATTGAAAATCCAAATTGCCTATCTTGACAAATGAGTCCAATTATTCAAGCATTTTCAAGAGAAAACATTGGTAGACATAACCTGGTAAAAGTTATTAAACACACTTTGTGTCTGCCAGGAACATCTGCACCTGTAGAGTGTAATGGAGCAATAAGGCTTTTCTTTTTTTACATGATGATTACCATGTTTTTTGAAGCATTTATATAAAGCCTCCTTTTCATTCGTTCCCTTCTCTGGTCATTTATTTTTTCAATTTTATTCAACACCTCCCCTTTAAAACACCCTGAAACCTCTTTCTTTTCTCCCGCCTAAACTCTTACCTGCCTTTCCCGATTTACAAAAATATGGTAAGGTTATATATAGTAATCATATATAAAAAAGTGAATATATATAAAACATATATATAATATATATATATATAAAAGTGTACAAGAAGATTACATAAAAAAAGAACAAAAAAAGAACTAAACATAGATTGAGCAAACAATCATAATATGCTTGTTTGCTTAATAATATCTTACATGTTGTTCATAATAATTTCATATAAAAGTACATCATTCATCGTTATCATTATCATTTTCCTCGTCATCTTTCCTCCTGAAATATTCCCTGCATATTTTAACCATGACTTTATAATATCCATGAATATATGCCTTGAAGCAACATTTGCTTCAAGGCATATATTCTTTTGTACGGTATCTGTTTAAAACAAGTTAAATAACATGTACATAAGTAAATAAAATATATCAAAGAATGTACGAATTATGGTCTATACACTAATTTTAATTCAAGTATAAATTCATAGCAACAAAATTCTCAACAACAAAAAAATGGCGCTTTAACAGCTTTGAAAAATGGCCAAAAACCTTTTCAACATTAAAACCTGTAACACACTATATGCGTTTAAAATTCATAATCGCAAAAATATCAGGTGTGTTCCGACGATGGCCCGACGTTGGTTCAACGTAAGCACTTACTTTGAAAAAATTTCCAACGTTTTCGACGTTGTTCCGACATTGCCCAACGTATGGATGCTGCCTGGGATATATATGAAAAGAAAGAGTAAAAATTATTTTATGTTTTATTCTTTAATTATTATGTTCTATGATGTTATGCTTTTAAGTACCAGAAACGCCTTCCGATGATAAGAGAAACTAACTTTTAGGTTTTGTTTTATTTGAGGTTTTTTATTCGAGGGTAATTATTCGAAAAAACCCGAAAGTTACGTTAAAGTAATTATTAACTTAATTGAAATAATAATTCCTTTTAAAATAAGAACTTTTTACCGCAAATTTATTTGTGTTTTTTTTTCAAGAGTAAAAATCTTATTTATTATTATTTATTTTTTTTTGCGTTCAAGCTCACAAGAACACAAGAACACAAGAACACAAGAACACAAACTTTATTATAAAAAAACATTTTGTAAATATAGTAAATTTTATATTAAAAGCTGTGTATAAATATAGAATTAGTCTATTGTACATTAGTAAAATCTGAAGTAAAAGAAATAAATAAAAAGAAAACTATATAATTGATAGATAATTTTTATCCAATTTGAGTAATAATTTGATAATAATTTAAAGCGTATGCAGCTGTTAGCAAAAACGTATATGTAGCTGTTAGCAAAAACAAAGATAGAAAAAATTCTAATTTATTACCAAAATAGCCAAGTAAAGTTTTTTTAAAGCATTTAAAAAGAAGAAACTGAAAACAGTAAGAAATACATAAAGTATGTTATTAACAAGTAACTTAAGTGTAAAAACAATTGTCTATAAATAAGGTTTAATAATATTTAAAAAACCAATAGGCAATTGAAAAAGCTCTATATACAAAAGCTCTATATACAATAGCCTAAAAGCTCTATATACAGTATTTTTTGCACAAAATTTTACTTTTTTTGTTTGTTAAGATCCGTCATACTTTATTCTCTACCTTGCCCTGTTTTCCCCTTCAAACAACTTATATGCACTCAAAAATACATGTGGTGATTAGAACTGTTTTTTTTTTGGAATGCATAAGATAAGATTGCTTTAAACTGATAGCCTTAAAAAGACCTATCTTCACTAAATCTGTTTAATAGGGGTTTATCTGCAATTGAAGCGCCGTAACACTCAACCATGGATCAAGAGTAGATGCATATGTAGCCAAGAGAAACAGGTAAATGTGCTTTGACAACAGAGATATAAAACTTAAAAATGTGAAAACCATTAAAGATACTCAAAAAACAGTCTTGAAATAAGCCATCTTAATGTACTTATCTTTCCCTTTTAATATAATAATAAAAAAATAAGAATATTATTATTATTAATAATGTCAAGTCATTTTTTTTGTATAGTGGATTACCCTTCTTAAAACAATCGTTGTATGGAGGTTAATGTAATTTTATTAAAAACGTATTGTAATACAGAACTATTATTACAACTCTATATTAAAAATAACCAATGCTTTATTGGTTGTGGCACTTCGCATTAAAACTACGTTGATTGGTATAAAAATAATATATTTAGCTACAAATATAAAACAATATTGTAGTCATTGTCAATATATTTATGCTTGTAGTTGTGTTGCATTTAGCTTTAGACCTACAATATCTAACTATTCACGTAATAATATTAATTTTTGAGTAAACTGCGGTCAATCAAACAACAATAGGGGCGAGAAAAAAAATTGTCTATAGTATGTAATTTTTTTTTTGAGATCACATTTTTATTACTAAACTTAAAGTAAAATTACAAAAAGTTATGCAAAAATTACATAAATGCTTTAATACTAATATATATATATATATTATATATATATATATATATATATATATATATATATATATATATATATATATATATATATATATATATATATATATATATATATATATATATATATATATATATATAAACAAAACAAATTTCTTAAAAATTGTTACGACTTGCAAAACTTATATTTGAATACTCATGCAACAACAAAAGAGCAAAATTAATAGTTAGAAAAAAACTTTGCAATTTTTGATAGTAGCTTTGAAATAAAATGTAAAATTTTTGATGCTGTTGGTATTGATGTTGGCTTTTTTGATGTTGTTGAAGGGTTAAAGGTTTGCACAGAGGAAATCGATGTTGGTGGTTGTGTTGATAATAAGCTAACATCATTGTTGCATAAATCTGTATTGCAGCAACTTACCTAAAAAATTAAAATGTATATACTTTATTAGAATAACTAATATTAAATCCAGAATACTGCATTTTTAAAGATGGTTGTTGCTGCTAATTTAAGTTAAAATGTTTAAAAACAGTTTTGACAAATAGACTCGTTATATTTCCGGATGGTGTACTGGGGCCGGGAGCCGGCTCATAAAAGTCAAACTTCTATTCTAGATAATTACTATAAAAACATAACAACGATGATAGTATTAATAATAAAAATAACAGTAATATTATATATATATATATATATAAATATATATATATATATATATAAATATATATATATATATATATATAAATATATATATAAATATATATATATATATATATATATATATATATATATATATATATATATATATATATATATATATATATATATATATATATATATATATAAAAGCCTCTAAAATATTTTTAAGTATTTAGTTAATATAGTTAAAATATTAGTTAAGTATTACCGTGCAATTAGAAGAAATATATATATATATATATATATATATATATATATATATATATATATATATATATATAAAAGCTTCTAAAATATTTTTAAGTATTTAGTTAATATAGTTAAAATATTAGTTAAGTATTACAGTGCAATTAGAAGAAATATATATATATATATATATATATATATATATATATATATATATATATATATATATATATATATATATATATATATATATATATATATATATAAAAGCTTCTAAAATATTTTTAAGTATTTAGTTAATATAGTTAAAATATTAGTTAAGTATTACCGTGCAATTAGAAGAAACTGAGTAAAATAAAGCGCATTGAAGAGAGCACGGGAAAAAAATGTTTTCCGTTGTACATTTCCGTTCAACTAATGGTAATTTTCCATAACGATTCAAAATTACCGTTGCACATAGGTTTTTAACACCTGAACATGTAGCTATGGATACTTGTGCATCTTGCGTGTTGTTTTGAAGAGTTTGATTAAAACATTGTAGTCCATAACCTTAAAAATTAAAGATTATAAGAAACCTTCAATTTATGAAATAAATGATTACTTTTATTTGAATTTTAATAGAATTTAATTTTTTTATTGTTTTATTTTATAAAATTTTATAGCTTACGATTTACATGCAAAATATTTATATTTGATCCTAATCAGCAGACTCAGAGATCAGTAAGGCATCTTTACAACGTCTTAAGACGACTTTAAGACGTCCATTAAACGTACTGCGCCCCCCGGAATATATATATATATATTTTTTTACAAAAATATGAATATAAATAGTATAGAAACGCAGCTTTAGAACAAAAAAGTTAAAACAGCCAGTATTAATCATTACTGTTTACATGCAGTATACATTAATATTATTCCATTCTTATGTCAATTTTAAGTAGTTTCCAGTCTTTTTAAACGCATTTCTTAAGCAGAATATTTTTGCTTTGGTTATGATTAGTATTGAAAGGTTATAAATAGTTTTGGAAAGGTTATCATTAGTTGAATGGTTAGAAATAAAAATTAGACAAACTGACTCTGATTGTGAGGCTGAATAAACCATAAAAAAATATAAAAACGGGCATAAGTGCACCGAATGAATTTGAAATTATTGGCGTAGAATTGGCACTTATGCCGATTTGCAATTTAATTTTTGCGAGTTCTTTCGGCGGACTTATCCCAAATCGTTTTTATGCCAGTTTGCAATTATGCCAATGGATTTCAATAAATCTGAAATCAAAATTTATTAATCTATTATTTTAAAAATTGTTTTCTTGAAAATGTTAACTAAATAGGTTAAATTTTTAATTGAATAATTTTTTATAGAATTGATCTTAATGGTAAACTAGTTGTTAAGTTAATGGTTTAAATTGAAGATGTTTATATATCATACATGTTCTAAAGTAACTGCATTTGATTTTTTTTAATTTATTTAGATTTATAAACGACATTTTGCATTGCGTTATTTTTCTATTTTGAATAGTTTAATTAAATTTATAGGTTAGAGGCGAAATAAAGTTCAACATTATGTTTTTAGTTTTTATTACTAAATAATATCTTATAAATATATAATAATATGGCATGCTTTTAAAAAAGATTATTACAGCATTAGGCGTTTTCATTAATTTCTCCACACCATTTCACACTGCTAATCATGAAATCATTTTTAAAAAATTAGAACTCTACAAAGTAAACAACCTAAATTTAAATTTGGTTTAAGAACTACTTGACTAACAGGAAACAATGCATAACCTATGAAACAAATAAAACCAAAAAAACTTATAAGTTGCGGGGCTCTTCAAGGGTTAATCTTGGGGGCCATTATTATTTCTAGTGCATAGAAATCAATTATTTTTAGTTTCTAAAATATTATATCTTATATTGTTTGCTGACGATTCCAACCTTATAGACTTAATAACTTTAGAAGTTCGAAGACTAAGAGGTGACTTTATACAACAATATAAGTAACATAAAGGTTTTAAATTTATTGATATGAAGATAGTCCAGATATAAATGTAATCAATAAATACTCCAGATTCAGCATCCAATATTAGAGGTTGTAAACATCGTGATTAATTAGATTTTGTTAAAAACTGTTTAAGTAAGTCAACTTTTTTAAAAAAACAGGATTGTCTTTGAATGAAATAGGTATGGTAGTGGAGTCTACATCAGTCAAAAAATTTAAATCTAACCTTAAGCAAATTGAATTATATTTTATAAATTATAAATTGATAAAACTAAATGTTTTCTTTCCATCCTCTTATCAAAAAATATAAACTGTCAATTAACATGCCTCAACTTGTTATAAAAAATATGCAAATTAAAAAAGTAACAGTAAACAACTTTCTATGTGCTTGTATAGATAAAAATCTTACATGGAAAAATCACATTAAAAACTTATCAAGTAAAATTTCAAAAAATATAGGAATATTGTACAAAACAAGATATGTTTTAAATAACCATACTTTAGTACAATTATATCACTCATTTATTCATTTTCATATAAACTAAGCAAACATTGGTTGGGGTAGTACAAATAAAAATAAACTTAAACCTCTTTATTGTCAGCAGAAGGATGTAGCACGTCTTATATATTTTAAAGACCGTTCGTTATACTCATCTCAAGCCTCTATAACTTTAAATTAAAGTTTTTAATATATATGAGCTTAATATTTTTAATTTTTTTTGTTTTATGTTTAAATGTAAATTCAATTCATTCACGAGTTCTTTCAATAATTTGTATTCATCAAAAGATAAGAACAAATACGCAATGATAATTTTATGAAGCAACCCATTTTTCAAACAAATGTTTTTAAATTTTGTATTGACTATCGCGGTCCATATGGAATTAAATTGCTTTATAAAATTTTACTGAGAATTTTATTCATTAATTCGTTCTTAGGGTAAAAATAACTATTACCAATTGACATAAAAACTATCCTTACAAATATCGATGCTTGGATTTTATAATGGTGTATATTAAACATGCTAATCGGATATAGTGGCTATCAACAACGATGGTTAAAATTTAATAATAAGAAATACGAATTTAAGAAATGCATTCAATTAGAACAAATGAAATTTTCAAATACAAAACTTTAGGAGAATTTTAGAAAACTATTTTTAAGTTAAATGATAAAGTACTTTAGCCTTAAATGTATATTTAAAAACTATTGATTTATTATATTTTCAAAATACTTCAAATAAATTTAATATAATAATAAGTGTTGATATTAAATATTGTTTAGAAAGCAAAAATATTGTACATTATATATTTTTCTTAATTGTGGAACTATTTTATCATTCTGTGGCGATATCACCCCACATTTTTCTACTTGGACAAAAATCTAATTAAATTACATTTAATGAATGTCAGTTAAATAGTTTTAACAAATTTATGAAGCTCTCACCGTAGCAGTTATTATCAAATGTATTTTCAATCAACTTCACAAAATTAACAACATTCCCATTTTGAACAAGAGTGACTCAATAATATCAGTTAATAACATTAAAAAGCAAATCTTATTTAAAATTTACAACAACAATTAAATTATGCGGCGACTATGATCAATCATTAGTTATAAGGTTATAATTTTAGAATAGTAAATATTTTACATCATCATAATATGGTGTTATGCCAAATCTTCAAATCTCTTGAAATAATAAAAGTGGCGAAATCGCCCCCGGTTTGCATGTTTTTTTTATTTTTAAATATTTGTTTTTTAATTATTATAATAAAATGCTTATTTAAAAAGTAATAAAAAGAAAAAGAAAAAAAATTAAACGAGAAAAACAAATTACAATTAAATTTTTATACAGTTATTGTATTGACTGTCATAGATCTCAACAGCATTTGAATTATAGTATCTAAATATTAATTCTGTAAAAATTCAATGTTCAATGTTGTTTCGCTTTTGTTTTTAAAGCAGTTTTAATTAGTTACTAGGCCCTTCTGAACTTGAAACAGCACGCGGTTATTAGAGGAAGATCTTTCAAGCGAGTTAAAACTTTTTACCTTTGGAATTGAATTAATACTAAAATTAGTTTAGAAATATTTCATAAAGAATCATATTAAGATAAAGAATCATCGTTAAGATCTTGTTATAATTGAAGTAAGTATAAAAAATAGTTTAGCAATTTATATATAATATTTTTATTAAAAATAAAGTAAAAAGAATCACTCCTTTTAATTTTTTAAATCCTTTACATTTTGTTCGTTTTAGTTTTTCTTTTGGCTTAATTTTTTTCTAGCAGTTTTGTTTTAATTGAGCATATCTTATATTTTTTAGAAGCACGATAGAGGTATAAATGAGGTCTAATTATTTTTTATGCAACAAAAAAGTTATACTAATGCTATCTCAATAAAATTGGTTATTACTACCATAAAATTTCTGTGATGCTATTAACTGTTTTTGCTCTTTTTTAGAAAATTTAAAAAAATAAATTAATTTTGTGCTAACACTGACACATGTTATTGTATGTAAAGATTAAATTTTTGTTATGAGATTTACAGTTCTTATGAAAAAAAAAGGTAAAGAGTATTGTTTGTATATAAATATTTATTTATTGTTTACTTTGAATCTTTTAAAATTTTCTCGTGCCATTTTTAAAATTTTTGCTTGCACAATTCAAGTTATATGTTTATTGTTTGCATTGCTTTTTTGATAATTATGTGTATATTGTAAAATATGCTTTACAGCTGTTTTATTAATGTGTTTTTAAAATAATGTAACATGTTTTTTTATGGTTTGTGTATATGTGTTTATATAAGTTATATAATTATTTTGCAAATGTGTTTAAATATGTTTAAATATGTTTATATAAGGTTAAATATATATATATATATATATATATATATATATATATATATATATATATATATATATATATATATATATATATATATATATGTATATATATATATATATATATATATATATATATATACATATATATATAAATATATATATATATATACATATATATATAAATATATATATATATATATATATATATATATATATATATATATATATATATATATATATATATATATATATATATGTATATATATATATATATATATATATATATATATATATATATATATATACATATATATATAAATATATATATATATATATACATATATATATAATATATATATATATATATATATATATATATATATATATATATATATATATATATATATATATATATATATATTGCGTTTATAGTTGGTTTATATGTTTATATTATGTTATTTCCATGTTTTCAAAGTGCTGTGACTTAGTAAACGTGTAAAGCAAGATTTTATCAACCTTGCCATCCAAGTCATTTACTTACTGCAGAGGATTACACAGCAGTGTTTCGTGTCAAACTGTTACTGCTTCAAGTCTAGGTGTTTTCAAGCCTTCATTTTTAGTTACTCTGAAAATACATAATAATGTATTTTAATAACATTTTGCATAATGTTATTACTTATGTTCTGTTATATATGAATGTTA